TGTGTCCCTGGGTCTGTGCTGTGTTCCTCAGTGTCCCCAGCTCTGTGCCTTGCCCTGAGCCCTGTCCTCCTCCCGCAGTGCTCCATGCCCGCCTGTGTCACCGCGTTCCACGTCACCTGCGCCTTCGACCACAACCTCGACATGCGGACGATCCTCGCGGACAACGACGAAGTGAAGTTCAAATCCTTCTGCCTGGAGCACAGCACCGGGGCCACCAAACTGCCCGAGGAGGCACGGACAGAGCCCGACCAAGCCCAGCTGGACTTGGAGAAGGTGACGCTGCGGAAGCAGAAGCTCCAGCAGCTGGAGGAGGACTTCTATGAGCTGGTGAAGCCTTCGGAGGTGGCAGAGAACCTCGACTTAAGCGAATCGCTGGTGGATTTTGTCTACCAGTACTGGAAGCTGAAGAGGAAAGCAAACTCCAACAAACCGCTGCTGACACCAAAAACGGATGAAGTGGACAACTTGGCTCAGCAAGAGCAGGATGTTCTCTACCGACGCTTAAAGCTCTTCATGCACCTCAGGCAGGACCTGGAGAGGGTGAGTACAGCCTGTCCTTCAGTGGTACCCATGTGCTCCCTCAGGACTGCTCTAAGGTGTGCTGGCACCCACAGACAGCAGAGCCCTGCTCCCCCTGATTCAGTTTGCCTCCCCTGATGGTTCTGTTCTTTCATCTTCATTCAGAAATCTAACAGTGCTCGGTGTGTGTGCATCATCACTGCCAAAACACCAACATCGATGGAATAAGTCAGTGTTGGTCTCAAAAGAGCAAATGTGTGCTGGGGGAGGTGCCTTGGCAGGGCTAGGTAGATGGGAGGCAGATGATGCTGCAGTTTATGTCCACTATACGTGAACAGTTTCAAACCACAGAATAACCCTGTGCTACTCCAGGATGCAGTTGCATCAGATGCTTTCCAGCAGCAAGTCTTGGGAACACATCATTATTTACTTACAGTAAACATCAAAAATGAGTGAAAGGCAGTGAGAGCAGGGCCAGTGGGACTGGGCATCCCCTGCCCTGCTGCAGCCARAAGTGGGTCAGCTCCTCAGGGAGCTGCTGGCGGAGGCAGAGCTGGGCCAGAGGATGCAGACAGAGGATGCTGCAGGCACCTGCAGCTCCCAGTGGTGCAGGACATCCTTGAATCCTCCCATCCATAGGAAAGGGAGCAGCTCCACGGCAGCTTTCTGGGCGAGAGAGAGCATTGGTGGAGCAGCAGTGCCCCGTGGTGCCAGAGCTCCCCGGGCTGGGCTTGCTCTGCACCGTGCAGCGTTCCATGGGTTTGGCTATCATGCTGCACAGAGGGCAGGAGCAGGGATGGGGCAGCGGCTGGAGAGGAGGAGCAGCAGGAAAGGAGAGCAGCAGTGAGAGGAAGAAGCACAGGGATGAAGCACACACAGGAGCTGGGCTGAGATGGCAGAGAGGGGATGGGTGCAGTGGTGCTGCTGCTGGGGAGGCACAGCACAGGGCAGCAGTGGCACAGGGACAKGGACAGGGACAGGGACAGGCAGGGCAGGGATGCTGAACCTGGCAGGCAGAGCCCAAGCTCCTCCTCTGCTTGAGATCCAAGCCCTGCCTGGTCCCCTCTCTCCTGTTCCTGCCAGAGGGGTGAATCCATGGCCTTTGCCCAGGTCACTGTCTGACCACCCACCCAGGGTGCAAAAGCCTTGGATGGGCTCAGGGAGTCTCTAGGAGCAAGGAGGAAGGAAAACAGCATTCCTTTGACCCTGCAAGTGGTGCTGTGGTTCCCTGAGCAGAGTCTGAGGGTGCTACAAGTGACGTGCTGCTCCCTGGGAGCAGGTGAAGGTGGTGGAGATGCTGCCCCTGCATGTCCCTGAGCCGTCTCTTCAATCTGCTGTGGGTCTGTGGCATCACTGAACCCATGGGGAGGGAGGCAGTGTGGGTGGGCACTGTGTTCATGTCTGGGTGGGGTTCAGCTTCAGGCCAGCCCACCGTGGTCCCTTGCACCCTCCTCCTGGAGCCCGAGAGCCTTCTCCTGTGTAAAAACAGTTGGATTTGAAGCTCTTGGTCTCTTTTCTGTGCTCCTGTGGGCCCTCATCCCTGTGGTCATCACTGCCATCCCTCTGCCAGTCTGTCCCTGCTTTGTTCCTGCCTTTACTGCACCACGTTTCCATCTCTGTGTTGGGCTGGGCTGGTGCCTGATCCGAGGGTGACAAGTTCAAGTCACTTTTTCCCCTCGTCTGCTCTATATTTTAAATCTAAACCCAGTTGTTCTGCCTCCTGCTGCTTCCTCTTGTTCCCAGCTTGGCTTTCCCAGCTGCCCTGAACCGCTGTGCACCCCTGGGTACCGCGCTTTGCTCCCGGCAGCTTCTCTTTGATTCCTTTGTGTCAAAACTGCGTGTTTTACCAGATTTCCCATTTTCCRGAGTCGCCTCCAGGCTTTGAGGGGTGTGCCCATCAGCATTCAGCCTCTGCTTAGCAACTCCCTGCCAGGTTTCACTGCCTGGCCCTGGAAGAGCTGTTTGTTTGTTCTGCTTCCAAGAGTGGAACAATAAACACCAGCCAGATCAAAGTCCAGTGCTCAGATGGGTGATAGGAGTTTAAATCCAATTGTTGCCAGTGCATCCCAGGTATCTGATCCTGCCTGGCAGCACCTGGCAGGTCACAGCCACCCTGTTTCACTTGCAAATAAGAATCACATCAAACTGGGATCAGGGATGAGCAGCCTGGAAGGCTCTAAAGGCTTTCAAAGGGTATCCACAGGACATCATGTTGGATTTTAGCATTTTCAGCAATTCATCTGGCAGAAGTGGTTGTGATTTTGGGGCTGATAGTGGTATTGGGATCCAGAAGCTGGGGAGGCAGAAGCAGAGAGCAGGTGACATGGGGACAGAGTGATGGTGTTTCTGTCATTTTTTAACCCCTGTCATTTCTACACTTCACAGTGTCAGCAAATTAAAGCCATTGCCAAATTAAACCCTAATACAGTCCCCCCATTTTATTTTTRGCCCTTTTTTAACCCTCTTTGCCTTTTTCCTAAAGCTTTTTCCGAGGACTGGGTGTCTAAATTCGCTTTAACAAAAAGCTGTGGTTTCCAGGCTTTCACACCAGCATCTAAACTTGGCTTGGGGAAGCAGCACTGGGTGGTGTTGGGCTGTGTAAGTGTGGGTAAATACCAGCAGTCTCTAAGCAAAGCTAAAGTAATGTTTTCTTCCAGGAATATCAAATCATAGAGAAGAGATACCGCCAAACGCTTGGAGGTTCTGGTTGCCAGATGCAGTTGTTTTCTTCATAAAGAAATCTTAAGTTTGATGTTTTCTCCACTCCAGAAAGAAAAAAAAAAAGAATGTAGTAAAATACACTATATAACTCTCTGCCTGATATTTACAGCTGGGGAATTCAACAGCAACAAAAAAAAAAAAAAAAAAAAAAAAAAAAAAAAAAAAAAAAAAAAAAAAAAAAAAAAAAAAAACCAAAACCACAAAAACAACCCAGCAGCTTTTTCTCCTTTGTTTCCAAACATTCCCAAATTGTCCTTAAGTGAGACAATGTTAGGGGTTGGCTGCAGTTGTCCCTGCCCTCACAGCCTTTGGGGCTGATATGAGGTGAACATGGACCATTTCCTGGCTTGCTTTGTCACTCTGAGAGGCACAAAGGCTCCTGGCTACATTGGAACAGCCCCCCAAGCCTGGAAATYTCCCCTYAGAGAGGRGTGTGAGGATGAGGAGGGGGAAGAATCAACCACATCAGGGTCACACGTGAGTGTGGACGTACCCATGTGCGTGTACCTCTATTCAGGCCACCTCCTCCTTACCTTATTACAGGCAGCTTTGCTCTTCCAGAGCATCAGAAAGCTGAGTAAATGCTGTCAAATCCTGTTAGATGCCATTAGCATTTCTGCTCTGCAGCTGAAAGCCTCTGCTCGCTGCAAAAGCCTTGATGTCCATTGTGGCAGCAGTGCCAGAGCCTGGCTCTCCAGCCACCCTCACTGGGGCTGGCAAAAGCATTGCACTGAAACTCATCAGGTGCCAGGTGCCAGCAGATACCAGCAGTGGCTCTGGCATCTTCTGCTGCTGGGGGTGTTCATCAGCAGCCCTGTGAGGTGAGATGAGCAGGGTTTAGCTGCTGCTGCTGCACTGGCTCACCTGAGCAGTTACATCTTGTGCTTTGCTGTTTGTGTTTAGAGCTTCAGATAATCACAGAATCAGTTGGGTTGGGTTGGGTTGGGTTGGGTTGGAAGGGACCTTAAAGATCATCCAGTTCCAAGCCCACTGCCATGGTTAATGAAATTTCTTGAACTGGGACAACATGCTCCTATGATTTGTAGGTGGATGTGCAGTGAGTGTGAGGAAACAAATGCAGGGGGCAGATTTGAGGTAGGGAGCTGCACCACCAGCTTTATCAGGTTTTTTGCTGTATTTTCTATGCTTTGCCCTGGAACCTGCTTTAGGGCAGTTCTGTGAGGCTCTGGCATCCCCATCCCAGCCAAGCCCCTTTCCTGCCCTGGCTGTGGGAAGATGGTCTGTCCCTGCCTGCAAAAAGAGCCATTTGTGGATGAGAACTGRTGCACTGACTTGGGGCACCAAGGTGCTTCACAGAATGTGGCATTTTTCTGTGCAGGTGTCCGTGTCAGGTGTGAACAGGGCATGATGCAGCTGCTGGGCCAGGGGTTCAGCACGATGGTGGRTGGGTGGTGACTGTGCTGTGATGCTCCTTCTGCAGCACCTTCCATTCTGAGACCTCCCCATGCCCCTCCTGGAGGAGTCACCCAGCCTTCCCTGCCCACCCTGGGGTCCTCCCTGTTGGAGCCTGGGATTTTTGGGAACATTCACTACATGGTTTTTCCCCATAAGTATCACCCAGTTTGGATCAAAAGCCCTCACTCCTTGCCCTGGCTCCCCCTGGTAGGAGTTCTGGTGCAACACAGACGATGGTGAAGTGAAGAGGATGGAATCCTGGGCAGCAGGAGCAGCAACAGGGCCTGAGGGGACCTGCTTTGACCCTGCCTAAAGCAGACGCTGTTTCTTGTGTTTCTCTAGGTTAGAAATCTCTGTTACATGGTGACGAGACGGGAGAAAATGAAACACACCATTTGTAAACTGCAGGAGCAGATCTTCCATCTCCAGATGAAGCTTATTGAGAAAGATCTTTACCCAGGTCAGTACCACTTAGCAGAGTTTGTTCTCACAGATGCTGTCCCCACTGTCCTCTGAAGCCAAGTTGTGTGCCCCAGCTACCCACCACTCCCCTGATGTGTTATTTTGGTCACAGTTKTTAAGTTTACTCAGAAACTCACAATAAAGCCAGACTCTGGGTGGCTGGAATGCTGGAGCTGTTTGTTTTCACAGCTCCCTCTTGACCCTCCCCTTCCCAGGAATCAGTCAGCAGGACCAAGCCTTTGCTTAGGTGGGGATGCTGAGGCAGTGCTTGGTGATTTCTGTGAGCTGGAACTGCCTGGGAGGAGATGGCACCTCCATCCTGGGCAGGGGCTGCTCTGCAGCTGGCTCCCTGGCACGGGTGGCAGCCCTGCTTCAGGCTCTTTGCAGATGCCTTTGAGCATTCTGTGCAGAATGGAGGGTTAAGCTGCTGCTGGGGGGTCTGTCACTCCAGGAGATCAGCTCCTTTGGCTCTGGTCAGCTGCAGCTCCCCCCTCACACAGCCTTAGTGGAGATCATGCTGCTGCTTGCAGAGCCTCTGGCAACTTTTATTAAGGACCTGAAATAAAGTTGGTTTCCTTTTGTCCTACTTTTTTCCCGTTTTGCACAAGCAGTGCTGGAGCCCACAGCTCCTGCTCCCTCCTCCTTCTCCTCCTTTCCCTCCGGTGGCAGGGCAGACCAGACCCCGTGGCTGCAGAACAGTTTTTCCAGCAGCAGCATCTGGTGCTTTGGCAGCCGCTTCCGACGGTTGTTGTGTTTGTGGCTTTGGAGTTGTGTTTGAAGCCATCACATGGTTGGGGTTTCTTCAGGAACTGTCTGGGCTGAGCTTTCCTTGACAAAAGTCTCCTTTGACTGAAGTTTTGGAGGCTGAGGGATGTGGATGTTGAGATGTCTGTGACTCAGGCCCATGCAAATTCCTCTCCATCACCGAAGCTGGGCAGTGATGGGGGACAGGAGTGGTCGGGACCAGGAAGGGTTTTTAAGCTCACCTCTCTTGCAAACATGGTGTTAGATACCTGGAAATGTCCCTGGGGAGCTGTGTTCCCCAAAATGCCCCAAAATGGGGACTCCAAGCACTGGTGCATGCCCGACTGTCTCTCTGGTTGGCAGCCAGCAACTCCTCCCAGGGAGAGCTGGAGTAGGTGAGCTGGGAGCCTCACCAGTGGGATGCAGATGCCAGCCAGCGATGRGGAGCTGTGTTGGGGCTCTGCTGATGGTATTTCAGGGTTGTRTGCACTGCCCAGTGCTGGTTCTGTGCTGTTGCCCCTCCTGAAAATGTCACGAGTGTGCTTGAGGAAAAGCATGGCTCTTGCCATGATGTTTGTTCTGCCTGAAGGTGAGTGATCACAGACAAATCCGCAGTGGGAGGGTGGGGATTGSTGTGCAGGGATCACTTCAGACCTTGTGATGCAGATGTTCTTCTCTCCTGCCCCACCTGGCTGGCGTTTGCCCTTCCCTTTTCCGCTCTGAGCTGCTTGTCTCTCCCAGGATGGACATTTTGGTTGAGCCTGAGCAGGGACCGACTGCTCCATCTGGGACTCAGCTCCTGTGAGTCCCTGCTGCCAGGGAAACYGCCCAGCTGCAGGAATTTGATCCTGGGATCTCCAGGTGGTTTGGGCATCTGGGTCCTTCCCCTGCCAGTGGACACTGGGGGCCCGAGTGCCTTTTGGCATCAGTCCACAGAGTGTCCTGAGCTCAGGAGGAGTTCCCTGGCCAAGTGACCCTACCAGGAGCTGCAGATACTCAGCATCCTGTGGAACCAAAGCTTTAGATAACTCACTGCTGCATCTTCCAGCATTACAAAGCCCTTACTGGTCTGGAAGTGGGGGATGGTTCCAATCGCATCCTTTCCCACAGCTCCTGACCAGGATGCTCTCCATACCTGGGSTCCCAGGAGAAAGGAAGGAGTCTCCATTATTTCACCAGGATGAGCCAAGTTTTTAACTGCTGTTGCAGTAGCCATCGACCGAGATCTGTTGGGGTTGTTCCAAAGATGGTTTTGGCACAAAGGTTTTTTTGGACTGGCTCCCACACAAAACTCCRAACAGGAGGGGTTTATTTTTCCCGCTGTCAAATGATCATTTAAGCAGGAGATTCTTAATAAAATCAGTGAGAACTGCCCGTGTAAAATGAACCYTCCTCTCTTCCCTGTATTTTTCTTGCACCGAGTGGAAAGTAAACACTGTCTGGCTTTGAAACACGGCTACTATTTTGACAGGTTCCTCTTCAAAAAGTGCTGCTCGGGTTTCTCTTTAGCCCYGTTGTGCTGTCTAAACAAAGTTAGATTTTGATTTTGTAAGCGAAGTGAAAAATGTGTCTGCCTTCCTCCCGTTACTTGTCAGGAAYGTAGCAAATACCAAATTTGCTTTTGCATTTCTTTTTTTCTCTGAGTCCTGTGGTCAGGAGGGGTTCCTGGCTGGCAACCCCAGGACTGTAAATCCTCTGTCAGTTCAGACTCGGGCAGGTGCAATGCAAATTCCCTCCYCTGCTCACCCAGTACATTTCCACTGCTGCAGAAGGGGGAGAGCTGAGGTTATTCCCTCTGACCCCTCCACCCCATGGCCTCTCTGCAGAGTCTGCTGAGGATTTGCTGCCGGCTGACACAATAAACTGATTTCATCCTGAAGTTCATTGCTCAGCCCATGGGCCAGACTGTAAAACTGCTTGTCTCTCCTCCACTTCCATCAGCCACCCACACTGTGGTTTAAGGGCGATATCCTTCCCCCTCTGAAAATTAATAGAAATTTTAGCATGGACTTCTGTGGGGGAGTGGCCTAACAGTGTAAGTAAAAACTGTTGGAAGTGTTTTATTTGGCAATACAAATTGTACTTTTATAGGATATTTGTCCTATTTACCCAAGAGGAATAAATCCAGTAGAAGTTCAAAGCCATTTAAGAAATGCTAATTTTTAGGTGAATGTCTGCATAGCTAAGAGTTAGATCCCTGCCTTTCCATAGGCAGTTCTGGTCATCTTTCCTGCTTCATGTACGTGTATCACTCGGGGGATTTTTCATCCTTTCACAGTTTCGCCAGAAGGTCAAATCAAGGTTGGCTTTTAAAGTGCTGCCACCTTTACTCTGTCAGTCTGTGCTACTGAATCCCTTCTGGAGATGCTCTTGCTGGTGATGGTTTGTAGGTCCCCATGGCTCCTGRAAGGTGTCTGAGCAGGATTTGGGGTTACTCCCTTGTGGATGCTCACCCCAAAGTCCTGACCCAGGTCCGTCACTGCAGAGTTTTCAGCGAGTCCCCTGTCCTTGGTGGGGCTGCTCCTTTGGCCATGCAAGTTCCTCTGCAAGGCTAAAACCTCTTTTTTGTTTAACCTGCAGGATTCAGATTTTTTTAACATAGAGACCTTAGCCTAGAGCTGGCCAAAGAGAGGCCCTTGTTGTCCCTTTAGAATTGTTTGCAGGTCTGACCAGGTCTCCACTGTGGGGGTGTGCCCCAGGGGAACTTGCTCACTGCARCATCCCTGGTGCCTCGTCTCACACGGCGTTTTCCTTTTTTCCTAAAAAATRCCAGAACAAACTGGGAAGAAGACAAAGGGTAAGAAAAGTGACCCAAGAAGGAAAGGAAGAGATGGTAGAAAAAATAGTCCCGAGAAGACAGAGAAAAGGAAATCGGTCAACGAAACTGTTTTGGGACAACTGGGTAAGTCTGATTTTATGGCGCAGAGTTGACCTGTGATGCTGGAGGCTCCCTGTTTTGGGGAGCAGGGTTAAGAGTCCCAACCCCTGATCCCTCCTGCACGTACACAGTTACACCTTCATCTCTCCTTTGTGGGAATCAGCCTGAATTATCCAGATCCTACTAGAGAGACTGGGTCACAAACATGATTGCTGGCAGGGCAGGGGGTGTAAACTCCCCCCTGCAGCCCCAGGATTGGGAGAATGTGTTACCAAACCTGTGMTGTGCTGCTGGAGTGGGATTTTGCTTTCAGGTGATAAAATCAGACTTACCCACCCCACGGCAGGGCTGCTGCCCCGTGTGTCCTGTGCTGTGCAGCATGTGGGCTCTGAGCTCTCATGGACTGTCCATGGCATTTGTGGTCATGCTGGTGGTGCCCGTGGTGCAGGAGCATCCAGGAGTCGGGCACAAAGCACATCCATCTCTTGAATTTGGTCATGGGGTGAGGAGGTGCAGCCTGGCCCCACAAAYGCCTCCATCTCATCCCCATCAGCTACAGCAGCAGGCAGGACTGGGGGAAGGAAAAGAAACAAAACAAAAACATCATTTTGGMCAAGGTCCTTGACAGCTGCAGGTGTTTTTTACATGGAACTGGGCTGTTGTTTGACTTCCCCTGCTGCTGCCACCTCCACCAGCAGAGGCAGGACGTGATGAGTCTGTGTGTGCCCAGCTGCTCCACGGGGGCACAGGGGAACACTGGTCCTATGAGGCTCTCAGGCAGTCTGGAGGTGCTGTAAAACCCTCCAGAAGGTACAGAGCACTTCTGTGGGAGRTCTGGGGGGTCTGGGCCACTCTGCCTTCCTCTGCTTTGCACATTGCTCACCTGACTGTGCTGCTTTCTGGTCATCTCAGAGCTGTTGGGTTTTAGGACCCTTTGGAAATGGGCTTTTGTGCTCACTCTGTCTCTGCTCGGTTCTCTGCTAAAGAAGTTTTGGATTTTCTGGGGTCAATTCCAGCAAACAGTGGAAGGCTGGGGAATCTCAGCGGAAAGCTGCATGGCTGTGAGCTTGGGAAACCAGGCAGCTGACCCAAAGCTTCACCAAGGTCTTGTGACCTCCTGRATTTTGTGAAGGGCTCGAAGCATCCCTTGGGGCTGCTGTCACCAGAGAAGGGCTGGGGAAGGTGAGCTGGGCTGTTCCCACAGGAAGGTGAGCTGGGCAGTGCCCTTGCCCACAGGACTTGGGCTCTGATTTTTGTGTGCCACACAGTGCCCTGAGCTCGTCCCTGCTCCTGCTTCACCTTTCCTGCCCTGGGCTGGTGTCAGGGTGTGTTGCTGTCTTTTCCAAAAGGGCCGTGGTGAGGTGCAGGAGGGTCACAGCCAGTGCTGCTGCTCATGGGTGAGGGTGATCAAAGTCACTGTGTCAGGCAGACATTGTTAGTCACCCCACCCATGCCACTGCTCTTTCCCTCACTATTCCCAGACTGTTTCAAAGGAGAGCTCTTCCCTGAAATCTAAAATCATTTTTCCTCCATCCATAAAACCAACTCAGATGTTGAACCTGTGGGTTTCTGTTTCAGAATTAAAGCTGCCTATGCCTGTGTAGGTGTGCACCTTTCCTGTTGCTAATTGGACCCAATTAGCCCCACCCACAGTGCTCATTCTTGCTCTCATCAATCATTATCAAGAAGTTTTTCAGCTTTCTCCATTCCAGCCTTCATCTCTGCTCCTCTTCTTCAGTTTCCATACCTTTTGAGCTGTTCTCAGGCCTGCAGATGTGTCAGTGGCTCCATCACCACACTGGCTGCTTGGCTCTGGTGGTGGCCTGGCAGCAGCTGCTCCCTGGGGAACTTGTCACCCCTTGCCTGGGCACAAATCCTGGTGTGTCATTGCATTTCTCAACTTACACTTGAATTGTTTGTTTTTCACTTTTGCATGAAAATGTTCCCACCTGTGCTGGGATGGCTCATTGCTTGTCATCTTCACTGAAGGAAGATGCTTGGTTTGGATTTAGGGARGTTCATGGAGTGTTAGATGTGAGGSACCACTGTGGTTGTTGTTCTGTGATCTCAGTGCACCCCAAATTCAGCACTGGTGCTGGGGTAAACTCTCCTCTGTATCCAAGTGTGGTGTGTTACAGTTGATCTTTCAGGTGTTTCTCCAGTGCCAGGGAGTTTTGGTGGAGTTGGTGATGGTGACAGAGGGCAGCATGGCTGTTCCTGGCTTCTGAAGCACTCTCCCTCTCTTGTTTTTCCCAGGCTTGTCAACCTCCTTCCCCATCGACGGGACCTTCTTCAACAGCTGGCTGGCGCAGTCGGTGCAGATCACCGCTGAGAACATGGCCATGAGCGAGTGGTCACTCAACAACGCCCACCACGAGGACAGCACSCCCGGCCTGTCCGAGGAGCTCCTCCAGGACGAGGAGACCTTGCTGAGCTTCATGATGGACCATTCCCTCAGGTCGCCATTCAGGCAGAGCGAGGCCACAAAGAAAGTGAAAAGCAGAACGAGAACGAACACTAAGAAAAAGCTGCCGAGGTGCAGCCCCCCTGCCGTGGGCAGGGGCCACCCGGAGGGCTCGGAGCCCTGGACTAACAACGCCAGCAGCTTGTCGGATGAGCCCACCAAGCCCTTCGCTCTGGATTCCAGACCGAGCAAGTCGGAAAAAGGGGCAGCAAAGCCTCCCACCGAGCGCAGAGGGACGGGCGAGGCCAAAAGGGCGGCCAGGAAGGGCTCTCTCCAGAAAGGCAGCGAGCCTCACCCCCCTGCCGGGACACGGGGCTGCGTCAGCAAGGACGAGGAGGAGGAGGAGGAGGAGGAGGAGACGCCGCGCTGCGCTCAGACGGAGCCCAGCCCCGCGGCCAAAGTGCCTGACTCCGTAGGTAGCCCCAAAACCATCGTGCGGTTCAAATTACCAAAGGAGAGCCGGGGGACRCGGCGCTCGCAGCCCCCCAAGGCSGACGGCGCCGGCGCAGCTCCCCTGCGTCGCTTCGACGCCGACACGGACGGATACTTCTCCGACGCCGAGATGAGCGACTCGGACGGGGAGTCCCGCGGCGGCCGGGCGCAGCGGGGCCAGCTGGACACGGCCGGCGAGGACATCGTCAGGATGAGCATCCTGGCATCCTAACTCCTGCGGCCACGCCGGCCCCACGAGGCCTCAACCCAGTTCCAACTGCCATGTCCAATTTCTGCCTGGTGTCACGGCGAGGGGGGTTTTTAATATGTGTATATAGTTGGAAATTCGGCACTGTTGTCTTTCTCTTCTCGATAACGCCTGAGATACAGCTTCAGCTTCACCGACATCGATGACTGTGACAGCAGTGGTCCCTCCCCRGCTCCCTGCCAGACCCYRGGAAGGCGAGCCGGCGCTCTCCGGGACCCATGGCCGGGGTGCCGAGAGGGTGGAGGGTGCCRGAACCCGCGCTTTCTGCAGGGATGGCAGTTCAATTAACGGGCATTATTTAATGAGGGGCAGATTTCTGCCTGGGACGGTTGCCCTCAGAGCAGGGAGCGAGCAGAGGGTCCGGCAGTGGCCAGCTGTGGGATGGGAGATCGCCACCTGCGTGTGCGGAGACAAGGAAGCAAAATAAGCGATTCCAAAATAAATAATGACTAAAGCACAAAAAGCTTGTTGGAGGAAAACGCTTGGGGTGGAAGAGAGCAATGTTACATTTCTATTTTTAGGGAAAAAAAAACCCTTGGTCATTATTTTTCCCCTCACCTTTCCATCTGGTTGGGAACCGTCCAGGGGCCAGATGCAAAATTTCTCCCCGCCCATGCCCCCGTTGAGGTTGTTAGAAACACTGAAGTGATTTACTCAGGTGAACAGATCAGCAAGTAGAAAATGGAAATGGGGAGCAGATGGAGGAGGAAAGCATCCTTTAAAACCACCGTGGGGAATCAGGGGTGGTGTAACCTGATTTTTTGTGCCCTTGCTTCTCTCCAGTGCTGCCATGGTCTCACCATGCCAGGGCAGCACATTTAAAATCCCCCTTTCACACCAAAACCATGGCCCCAAGGCCAAATGTGCTGTCACTGAGGGGAAATGGCAGCCCTTGCCACCACCATTGTGTTTTCCTACTAAATGCTACAATGGAAATGGTGAATTTATTCCTCTCCATCTTTTTGTTTTGTTTTGGGTTTTTTTACCTTAAATCCTGGTTACAAGCTGTTGACTCGTTGTGGAGGGGTGATTCACAGAAGCTGACATTATAAATATTACAATAATTTAATGCATAAAATGTCCCCAATAAGCCTTAAATGTTGTTTAAAAGCCCATGTTACCTATAAGTCAGGCGAATTTCCATGTTTGCACTTAATTGCACCATTACTTCGGTTTTGGCTTCAAAGGTCACAGTTAAGTCATGCTATGTGTTTTATTGGAGTGACCCCAGTGTGAGCTCAGGGAACAAAAAAAAAGGAATTCACTGAAACTTTTGTTGTTGTTGTTTTTTAAAAATAAAAAATGTTTAAAAAAAAAMHWAAAAAAAAAAATAAACCACAAAACCAACCCAAACCTGGGACACTTCTGCAACCGGTTAAACCCTTCACTAAACAAAAAAACCTTGCAATTGTCAAACCAATCAGTCAAAGAATTTTGTGGATGCCAAAGAAATATTTTGACAGTCAAGCAGCACAGCCAGAAACCGGAAACTTGTCATTATGAAAAACAATTGGAAGTTATTTAGCAACCAAGGACTAAAGACACACTCATACCACACTGCTGCGGCGTTAGGTTCCAAGCTTGCTCCGAGGGATGCTGCTGCTCCGAGACCGCATCCTGCCGTTTTGGTTTCCGATGCTTTTTGCTCATTTCACTGTGAGCTTTCTTTTTGAAACTCTGAGACTGATTYCGATTGATGTTTTAGAGTAGATCATCTTTATCAGCCTTCCAAAGTCCTTATTATTGGTAAAATTGCAGCAAAGATCAGTGATGACAGCCCAGCTGATCCYAGGCACGGCGAGAGGCAGGGCTTTGGGTGGGATACCCAGCCSTGCCTAAGCCCAACACTCACCTGGATGAGACTGACCGTGCCTGGGAAGGAATCTTCCTCAGATGGGAAAAATGTGACATGAGTTATTAGTGGGGGAAAAAAAACAAAACAAAAAAGCAGCAAAATACCAACAAAACGGGAACCACCTTTGTTATAAATTAGCATAATCCATTGAGGTTGGAAATGAAAATCTGCTCATTAATTAAGGCTCAGTATGTTCAGATAATGTTAAATACAGTAAATAGGACTTAGTTTATCTTATCAGGCTTGCTAGCTTTAGCTCCAGTATCCTAGTATACGAGTCATAACAATAATCAATATGCTGCCTTTTAATGAATCTTGCTTCCGTGTGCTTCACTCAATTATGGTTAAAAAAAAAAGCAATCCACAAATTTCACTGTACACAGCTCCATTCATCAGCTTCTGCACTACTTGTCTTCTCAGTACAGGAAAGCAAAAAGGGGGAAACTTTAAAGAACAACCAACCCAGCACCACCAGCATTGGGCAATAAACCAGTTTGAAACACTCCCAAAACATCAGGCATCATGTTTTGCCATCAGGAGATGGGGGAAAAGCTAAGGGAGTTGGTGGGGCGCAGGGAGGAGAAYTGGATGGCAGGAATTGAGAGGAGGAAAAGGGCTCTGGTGAGAGGTGGGGCTGAGCAAGGGCTGGACCACGGCGGGATGGCTGCAGCCACCCCGGAGCATCCCCTGCTGGGAGCATCCTCGGAGCAGGGGAGTCTGGTGTTCTGGAGAGAAAATGCACAAGGAAAATATTTTTGATGTTAATGTAGATGTATTTTGAAATGAATAGAAAGAGGAAAAAAAAAAAAGGTTTATTTTAGTACAGAAATGTTGTCTTTTAAGATGTATAAACTGCAGGAATCGACATTTGCACTGTAAGAGCACCTGTTTCCTTGCAGAAGCAGCCACTGTCGAGATGAGGATGCAGAAATTCCCTGATGGAGCACAGCCCCTCACCAGCCCCAGCCCTGATGGCTGAGGGAGTTTCCCCAGGACAGCTCCCATTCCACRCTCCCATTTTCCCCACACCCATCTTTTGATTTTTCTTTTTCTTCTTTTTTTTTTGTTTCTTTTGCTTGCACCTGTTTTATGGGGATGCCTGCTGTCCCATGGAGCTCGCCCCAAGGTGGGATGCAGAATGGAGCCAGGAGGGATGCAGGATGCAGGAAGATGCTGCTACAGGGCAGGGCATGAGGTTTGGTTGTTCTTTAAGGAAATCCCCTGCAGTTTGCACCATTCCACATTCAAAACAACCCACTTCACATCAGTTACAGGAAACGATATGAATGTCGCAGGAGGAGAAACCCTTCTGTTTTCTTTGTTTCAAAGAACGTGATGTGCCATTTGTTAATACAAAAGAGAAATATTGAAAATATATTGAAAAGAGCAATTTTAAATTATTTTTGGCTTATGTTGCAATATTTATTTTCTTGTATTAGAAATTCCTTTGTAGAGAAAAAATGTATTTTTCATTAATGCAAAAACCTATTTCTCCTTTTTGTACATTTTCCATGTTAGTTAATCCTTAAAGCAATATAATGTTATCAAACTCGTTCTGTGTGAGACTGTATTATGCATGCTATTTGTGTTGCCTTGGAATAGCTCTGTCTGCCATTATTTTCATCCTGTTTAGATACAGTGTATGCTTTAATACACATTGGGACCATGGCCCATTGCTTATGAAAAAAAACAAACCCCTTTGCATTCCTCAATGTGTTGGCAAATGCAGTCAATAAAGCAGTGTTTTCTGTGTACCTYGTGTCAGTGTAGTGAGCTAACTCATCCCAGGGATGCAGCTCTTTGGGGATGCAGCCACTCTGCCTGTGAGTAGCAAATTTTGAAACTCCCATTGCATTTCCATTTACATTTCTATTGCCAAATCTCAGCCAGCTCTTGGGAAACACAGCTGGAGGCRTTTGTCACAGCTAGAAGGGCAAGCCCGAGCAAGAGGATGTTCACAAGTTCCCTGTGCCTGAAAGCTTCTATAATTCAAGGTAGCCACCTTTCTCAGGGGGATTTAAGTCTTGTTTCACAGACTTGGAGCAAAGCCTGCTGAGGAAGTCCTGCTGTGAGACAGGATGCTCAGAGGAAGAGCTTCTTGCACCAGGAGCTGATGTAACAGGCAGGGAGACACACTGCTAGATTTGCTGTGCATGGGAGCAAAAAAGCAAGCTGTGAAACCCAAAATACTCCWGCAGTGTGTTCCTGTTTGTGGGACACTCCTCGTATCCTTCTGGTATCAGTGAGTGGCATCCCTGCCCGTGGAAGGGGAATGGCWCTAAATGAGCTTTGAGGTCCTTTCTAACCTGAACCATTCTGGGATTGTGCTGTAGTTGAGGGCCTGACCCTCCACCTGTGGGGTGTGGCAGTAGCACAGGGCTCAGCTTTAAAAGCTTGAATGGGATCCACATCTTCCTGTGCGTGCTTGGCTGGCTTGGAGGCCACAGGCAGGGGTGCTGCCTTGCTTTGGCAGATATTGCCGTCATCAAGAAATGGTTCTTCTACCGTTTTTGGCATTTACTGGCACATTTTTCTTCTGTAAAATTACCCAAGTGCCTAAGCTGCTGAAGGAAAATGAGCTATTTAGTAGACATACTTTGTTCAGTTTGTTAGTGAATGATAATCAGGCAGGTGACGGTGCACGGTGAAGAGGGAACGAAACCATTCACCTGAGATGGGTCTTGGGGGGATGGAGGCAACCACTCTGGCCTTACATTCAGCTCTTCAATGAAAAGGCAAAGGATTGRTTTATTGCAAACTAAGGATTTTGTTCCTGTGTTCTGTTATTGCTCACAGCTCTCCAGTGATGTCCTCAAACTCCTGTCTGGTTTCCAGAGCCCTCAGTGCAGGTGTGATGCCCACAGCAACATCCATGAAACTGTCCAAAGCCAGTTCAAGAGTTGCCTTCTGCAGGAAGTTTTTCACCTGTTCTTGGYAGGGAGATACACAGAAATGGAGTTTGATTCCATAAAGCAGGGAGCAAGACCAACCCACCTGCTGTGGTTTAACCCCAAAGAGCCACCCCCTTCCCAGCCCCAAAACGTCCAAGGGGAKGATGCCAAGCCCAGATGGATCTCAGAGTGATGCTGGGGAACACAAGGCATCATCTTTACAAACTGGCAAGGATTTTGTCTCCAAAATATTTAAGGCTCATGAAAGAGAGAGCTAGCCAAATTCATGGGAAGATGAATCCCTGCCTTCTGGCACCTGCATTAGAGCAGAGATGGCTGGGATGGTCTGGCGGGATGTGTCGTGGAAGTGGGCATGGGGAATGGAACAGAAATGCCTGCAAGTAAAGGAAGAGAATTTTTGACAGCTGAAAAGACTACATCACCTCTGCATGTCCCCTCTTCTCCCAGAGACTCCTTTTCACAGGAGAGAAAAAACCAAAGCTGATAACCAGCTCACCAAGAACAGCTCAGCAGCTCTAATCTGACATCTTTTTGTTTAGACAGACACCTTCTGAACCCCCAGCTGGCTTTTGAAGGGCGTGAGGTGCAGGAGGGAGTTCCACAAGGCCAGGACCCACGCCCTGGGTGGCAGCAACCCCACTGCCCATTACCATCACCAAGAGCCACCAGGGTCACTGTGTGTTTTCCAGGCACTCAGCAGAGCAGGGACAGACAGACATGTGGCACTGGTGCTCTACCAGCAGCACCACACCACCCTTCTACAGCCCAGCCTGACAAATAATTCCCAATAAAGTTACAAAAAAAATAGTAATATTAAAAATGTATATTTATAGGCACTTGGAGCATGTAGGGTTTCCCTATGTTGCTCACTCAGGGTTTGCCTATAGTATCCTCATCACAGATGGTGCTGAAAGCCTCGGTTTGCAGCCAGTAGCCAAAGAATCATTTCAATTTAATTGCAAAATAAATGTTAGGCTAGTCCCTATATGTTTTGCATAAGGATTGCAAGTGCCACCATAAATACTAATGGGGCAAATACACCCCGGTGTCAGTAAATCATCAGCAACGGATGTGGAAAGGAATTAATTTTCCTTCAGCTTATCCTGAAAGAATTGCAGTAAGACCTTGTTTTATTGTGTTTGATTAAGTGCTGGTGGTATAACATAATTTCCCCTAACCATTAAAACCGCTGGTGCTGTACTTCTGCATAAACACCTCTAATGTGATGAGAGCATATTTAATATTTACTCTTCCAAAGTTAATACATTTAGGGGAGACATTTTGTGCACTAAAAATAGTTCCTTGGTCTTGGATTGCCATGTAGGGCTGTGAAATGATGTGTCTGCTGTGATTGCAACAGATGAATAAGAAAAAAAAATCTTTAAAAAAAAATAAACAAACCTATGACTAACCCACAAAACAAGGGAAAAATCCCACTACAGCCAATGTCGACCCTGGCTGATCCAGAGGGTTTCACAAGTGCTGCTTCTGCTGTCTTGCCCATCCCAGACTCCATCTGACAAACTYATTCCTTGATTGTTTAATGCACAAGTGAAAAACAGACTTGTGGAGGGTCTAATCAGGCTTTTTTGTTTTTTTGGTGGAGG